ATGTATGTATGTATGTATGTAGGATGAGAGAGGATGGCAATGGCAATGATGATGTGGGGGAAGACGTGAATAGCGGTAGCAATGATGATGGTGCTCCCATGCCTGGTCTCTCCTGCATCTGTTGCTGCTCTGCGTAGGTCCGCTAACTGGTTGCAGTGGTCGTCGCGGTCGTCGTGTAATGGCCTCTGTTATTGACTTTGTCGCCACACACAGTGCAGAATCTTTCCGCCGTCTGCAGGTTTTGTGTTTCTGGAGGGACTTTTCTGTCTCCTCTTCACGACCGAGCTGGCGCTGAGAATCCAGCAGCAACACTGGGCCTTCTTCCAGGACAGTGTGAAGTTCGAGAGAGTTAGGGATAGTACTGTCAACACATGCCTGTTTCAGTTCGAGTCGTTCGGCGGTCCTTCTTCCACGATCTTCAGTGCTGTGACTTTTGGCTTAGACAGACGTGTCAAAGCAAGCCCTCAATGCAATGTCTACACGCCCAGTCAAGTCCGCAAGTCCGAGCGGCTGGCCGGGACAGTCTGCTGTCAGCGCTAGCAGGCATTTATCCATACCATTTCGGCTGCTCCAGCTGAGATGCATGATTCAGGGTCTAGTTTAGATTTGCTCGATGATCGCAGGGCCTCAGGTTCTACGTGAGTGTGCTGAGGGCAGTGCGCAGAGTCTTACGAGGAGTTCTTGAACCTCTTGGACTACTCGTTGGTGGTGATTAGCTGGCTTGATGTGGCCGTGTCCGTGATCACCTACCGAGAACGGGTTTCTCGTCTTGTTCTTGCAGTTGCGGCCATGCGAGTCATACAGGCCAGACGCACCGTAAACCAAAAAGCCGAAGAGCAAACCTCACAGAAATCTGTACAGTCACCTTATAACCTATAGTAACACTTATAGTATTATCAGCCCTGCCCCCTTCTAGCACCCTTGTAGCAACCCTTGTAGTAACCTTGTCGGGAAAGTAGCCCCTGAACATACCCTTCAGCCTAAACAGAGCCCAAGGTCCAGTTCGCGTCGACTGTGCGCGTCTTCCGCTTTGTGCGCTTCATCCGCTTGGCCGAGGGCCGCTTCTTCGGGCTCTACAAGACACTTGGGTTCAGGTTTAGGGACTTAGGGTGTAGGATTTAGGGTTTAGGGGTTTAGGGTGTAGGGTGTGGGGTTTAGGATTTAGGGTTTAGGGTTCAGGGTATGACGCAGATAGAATATGCCATCACAGAGCAACAGTTCATAGAGTGTATCAGAGTCGTACTGCAGCATAGCCTACATCAAATTACGTCGCGTCAGATCATTTGTTGGTGCAGTGTCGTGCCCAAGCGCATATGGTATCGTGTTATGAGCCATGCCCAGCCATGGCAATAGCAACCACCGTGAGCATGACAACAATACCAATAATTATGTTCGCAGAAATATCATACCTTCGTGCATAGAAACATGAGGAGACATATGGGAGCTTCACAAATCCAAACCCAAATAAAGAACCCCAAATAAGAGCAAACCCTAAGCGGCACACCAAACCGTGAACCCCTGAACCCTAAACCATAAACCATTGCACTGGTATGTTAGCAGCAACGGAGCTACATGTCATGCCAGTCACAACACGGCAAAAGACTAGCACTCGTAGTAACGGCGATGGTGATTGCAACTACTATCGATAGCAGTAGACACGACACCTGCAAGCATGATGTATTGTTATGACTATACGAGATATTGTTGTTGCGGTTTATGATTACTGGTCTTCTTCCCGTCTTTGCCAGTATCAGTGCTATGACAAATCTTCCTACTCTTCGTGTATGTATATACAAACACGCTTGATCGAATGCACATACACAAACCGGACTCATAAGCGAGGAAGCGACGCAGGCAGGCAAGCAAGCAACGAAAGAAGCAGACAAGCAGACAAGCAGACAAGCAAACAAGCAGACATGCAGGCAAGCCAAAAACCTCGATGTTGAGCACTTCTACCGCTGCACCGAGGATAGCCAAAGGCCTCGCCAATGCTTTGCAGCCGGCTGCTTTCCTTCAATGGACGCCCGCAGCTTGCAAGAGTAGCCGTGCTCCTACCGAAGTTCACAGACGAGCAGTTACGATAAGCAAAGCGCCGCTAGCTCGAATCCCGCGTTTGGGTGCATGCCCATCTCTTTCTTTCTACATTTCGTTGTATGACCTGTAGCATGATGCCGCCTTCATCTTGCTGAGCTTTAAGGATGCAGCCCTGCTAAGATTTCGGGTCACAGGACACTGGCTCTCGTATCACCTCTCCAGCACAAGCAACTGCATATCGACATCAATTCCCATGACTATGTGTGATTCTGTGGCCGTCAAGTAGCACTTATGAACCATGGTTCGCGACAGAAAGAAGAGACACAAGGTCGCGGCGGTACTCTTGTCTGCAGGCATTGTGTGGATTCGTCTAACTGCTGCAGTCCATGTAGAGGGACGTGACAATAGGGGCGCTCTGGATCCAGACATGTTGTATAGCCTGATTTCAGAACTGCATTCCATCAATAATATTGTAATCTGACGGTGGTTATGACTGTACTCTGACGAGGTTGTCTATCTGGCGATCATCAGCGCGGCCTTCATCTTCACGGCAGCTGCCTTTCTCACAGGTGCAAGTTTGTGTAGCGAGTTTCTGATCTGAGGAAGCAAACCCCCACAAGTGATGCCAGCAGGATAACATGAGACGATGTGTGCATAAGTATGTATACGTACACATGCATGATGCATGCATGCATGCATATACACTCACACATACATAGGTACATAAACAAATGAATAAGACAAATAAGAGAAGTTATCTACTAAAGAGAAAATCAGTGAGTGAACGTATACATGGATAAATACATAGAAAGAAAACAAATAAACAAGTAAATACACGGAAATAAGTAATGATAAGTAGATAAGCAGGTAAGTACGTCTAAACAAATTTTATATACACATAAAGAAATATAAACAGAATAAACATAAACACGATTAAATGTGAAGGGACATGGATATAAATGTACATATAAGAATGAATGAAAGTGAGAAGTGTAAATATAGATATAATTACTTGTAAAGTGAGAAAATATGAATATAGATATAGTTAAATGTAAGCAAATATGAATAAATACAAGGAATGTAAATAGTTAATTGCATGAGTGCATAAATAGATACATGAATACATAAATGAATTAATAGATACATAAACAGATTCATAAACCAAAGCGTATATATATATATATAGAGATATATATATATATATACAGATATACGCACTTAAGTATTTATATGTAGCTTTACACATCCATCGTACGTACATGCACATGTAATCTGCACGGGACTGCAATGCATTGCTCTGCCAGGATTGGTGGCTCACGATTGGGTGGCCATCAACCGCTGGGAAGCAGCACGGATGTATGCCGGTTCAGTTTGGCGCTCTGTTCTGACGGTCATGCAGGCCACCGGACATTCTGTAGAGTGTAGGCTTCTTCAACAGCGTCGCAGGCTCTTGCAGCAGCGTTCCTTGCCCAAGAGCATACCTTGTTGTTGCCTTTGTCCAACTACATCTGTATCCTTCCGGGAATTCGGTCTTGACTCCACCTCTCCAGATCGCGACTTTTGACAACTGGGCGGAGCTCACGAACAACCTGGTTGAGGCATCCAGGGGCATTTCCTGCAAAGTGAGAACAGGCAACTTGACCCCGCTACCCCGCCAATCGAATACACACCGGAAGCCAATTCTTGAAGTTCCATTGTAAAGGCGGGGTCACCTCTCACGCTGATCGTGGTCCTCGGGAGCATCTTCGGATGCTCCTTCGCGCTCCTGGGATGCCAGTGAGTTGACTTGACAAATCTGAGCTAGATGCTCATGTGATGGTCTGGGAGCTGACGGTCATGGTGGTGCTGGCGATGATTACAGACAAGACGGCAAGTGCGACGATTGTCGTGCCTTGAACCTCTGCGACTGCTGCTGCTGCTGCCGGTGAAGCTGCTGATGCTGCTGCTGCTGCTGCTGCTGCTGCTGCTGCTGCTGCTGCTGCTGCTGCTTCTTGCAGTTCTTCTTCTTCTTCTTCAGTTGCTGTTGCTGTTGCTGTTGCTGTTGCTCTTGCTGTAGCTATGGCTGTGGCTGTGGCTGTTGCTGTTGCTGTTGCTGTTGTTGTTGCTGCTGTTGTTGCTGCAGTTGTTGTTGTGGTTGCTGTTGCTGCTGCTGTTCTTTGAGGATGGCACGGAGGACGAATAGGTTGACA